CTTCAATGGGCTCATTTTCTCAGCTCCACGCAGCAGCTCCTGGTCTCAAAGCTGTTACCCTAGCACTAGAAGGCTGACAATGGCTAGCCTTTCTGCAGTGGTTTTGAAGTCTTCTTAAGGACCCTGTTAGAAATTACTATCAGAAAAACCAGCAGGAGTAAAAACAGTCCCGTGAGGTGTTATATAGAAACACCCTGCAGAAAAGCAGTTCCGACAACCCACATCTCTGCTGCTCAAAGAACGATTATGCAGCAGAAGCTCGCTGTTGACAGCTGAGGTCAAAAAAGAACCAGAGGGATTAAAACAAGTATCTGTTTGTTGTAGCTCACCAGCTTCCTAACATATGCTTGGGTTTTTTTTGTTGTTTTATCCTTCTGTGATAGGTAATAGTGTTCTGTAACTGTTCTCCCCTGAGCTTCGGAAAGCTCTGAACAACTCATTCTTTCTATCCTGATGGTCCTCTTCACTTGAGAGATTAAAAAGGGACATTAAAAAACACACTGGAAAAGCGAGCTTGCTCCCTTGAGGAATGGGGAACTTAAAACCATGCTACCGACACCTCTTCTGACTAAATCATGGATGTTTACCCATTTTTTGGCAATACTAACCCTCCACCAGCTTTGCGTTACCTGTTACTGCCATAGTATTTCCAGTCCTTCTAAAATAAGTGGCAGTTTTTTGTCAACACACTGCACAGCGATATTAGAATTGTTAGATAATATGTGGACCTCTCCCATAAATAAGGCAAAAACAGAAAATAAAAAATAAATGCATATGGCTAAACTTGAAGGACAGTCTCTTCTCAGTTAGAAGTGAGGCATTCTCTGTTACTCAAACACATGACTTAACTGATGGTGAGTGTTAGTGTGATCCACATCCTGGTTTAAGCTACCAAAAGCCAAGTCCTAAATGCCTTTCTGTGAAAAGAAAGGCCTGTTCATACAGATCTGAACATCCAACAGATTGTGCTAGCCACCCACAACTTAATCTCTAGTGATTTCTAGGCAAGTGAAAAACAAAGAGGGGGAATAGACCAAATTAGTTTGGAGAAGTTACCAAGAAAACGCAGACAGACAACAGACAGAGGCTGTTGTAAATGCTCACCAGATTTGATCAACACGTTCAATGTCCCTGCAAGGAGGGGAGAAAGAGCTCAGAGGGGAACGAGCAAAAGAAGCAAATAGTGGCAATGAAGGAAGCTGGGTATTTTTATCCTGCTCAAGGCCTTACAGCGTATGGGTTTCAACTCATTTTCCACTCAGGTAAGATGTTGAGCAGACTGCACTGATCACTGAGTTTTTTGAAAATGTACACTACGGAAATACTTGGTTTTCTTGTTGGTTGCCATTCCTTACTGGTCTCTACCATAAATGACCAGAGCTTATGGGGACAGCCTGGTCAACCCAGGTTAGACATTTGAAAGCTGAAGAAACAAAGACACTAAAGGGAAATTTGCAACCAAACTTGAAACCCTGAGTCAAAACAGACTCCTCATGGTGCTGGGGGTGTCCAGTGTGCATCCATGTGCTAGGCGTTCTCCAGAGCCCAGGCCTAGGAAACTGAAATGCAGATGCCAAATGTCAGTCAGCCTAGGGAGACAGGGTGGCAGTGCTGAATGGGTACAATTCACAACAGATACCACTGTATCTGTGAAGGGAAACACCATTTTTAACTCTTATAAAACCCTTCAGATGTGTACAACTGCATGCTTAGTAATTATATTTTTCATCCGAAGCCTTAAGACATACAAATTTGCACAAACACAGTGGACATGAAAAAAAATCAAAGCCATTCAACTTCTATTCATTCTTCCCTGGGTTTGTTTATCTTCACAAAACGACTAAATGGAGCAAAATACAAAATGGACACAAACCAAGACAGATGTTTATAATTCTCTACAACTTCAAAAAGCAATGAAGCATCAAAATGTGATAACTGCCATTTTTGTAAATGATGGTTCTTGTAATCGTTTTCTCATGTCCAGAAATCAGAAATAGGGATTTATTTGAAATAGAAATCTGAGATTCTCTGTCTTTAACTGGAGTATGATCTAATCAAAAGGCCTCTGCCACCTGTTCTTCATTAAGCCCCTGCTGCCTGCATTATCTGTTGTAGCCTCTGCTGGCAATATGCTTGGCAAAGAAAATCCAGAAAACTTATTTCACATAGGTGTCCTTTTCAGATTCTCTTAGAAGAGCAATTTAATGAAAAGGGAAGAATGGTTAGAGAAGGAAAGGAGCAGGTTTACAACCAATAATGGGAAGAAGATGGTATTCATATAGTTGCAGTATTGAATGCAAAGATGACAAACCAGTATATTTTATTATTTACACCCTCTTAAAAAGCTAAACAGCCAGCTGCCTCCAAATGCAGTTTGAGGAAAAAAGGCGGGATCTGTTTAGGCTGGGGTGGAGCAGATACCAAATCTGGCTTTTTAAATATGTACTCTGCATGAACTGGAACTGAACAGAACTGTTCTGTTCTTCCAGAGCTCTCTGTTCCTTCAGGAGCGTGCAGAGTCCTACTCTAAAACACTTAGTCTGACATCCATCCTTGAGACAGGAACTATGTGTCAGAAGAAAACCCTCTCCTGGTTTAATAGGAGGGGAACAATTCAAGCCGTGACCATGCCTCCCTCCCTTCTCTCCTCTGTCAATGCACAGGTTACCTGCAGTGGTGCTTCCTACTGGCAAGCCAGAACGTACTGTCACAGCCATAGCAGTGTGCAGCGAGGTGGTCTGGAAGCCATCGTGTCACCTGGGAGAAATAAAAGCCAAATTTATCAAGGAGAGGGCAATTAATTAGAAAGCAACCCATCTCATTTGCGCTCACAAATTCAAAGCAAAGCACCATGACGGAAGTGTTTGTTCTATTTTAAGAGCACAAATTCAGTGTTTGCAACAATTGAAGACGGACGACAGAAACCTTCCCTTTGAGAACAGATACCCTAAATTCCCCTCAAACAAAAATTAAGTCATAAAGTCCAATTCCCTGTTTTTTTTTTCCTGTGCTTTAGAAGAATCCAGGCCAAGAATATTCACCAAGCATGTGTATAATGTTTGCAACAATTGAAGACGGATGACAGAAACCTTCCCTTTGAGAACAGATACCCTAAATTCCCCTCAGACAAACAAAAATTAAGTCATAAAGTCCAATTCCCTGTTTTTTTTTTCCTGTGCTTTAGAAGAATCCAGGCCAAGAATATTCACCAAGCATGTGTATACCTAAGGCTCCCTTAGCTAACCATCCCTTCCACCGTTTCTCAAAGAGTTCATACACAGAAGCAGAGGGCTCATAGGCACAGGTACTGATATTTAAAGTACGAGAGACAAGTGAAATGCAAGGAAGATAGTTCACAAGAAGTGGCACATGACCAAAGGCTGTAGGATAATTTGAATTATGAATATCCCATCCTACCGGAAGAATGAGTGATTTACAGGGATTTAGTCTGTACCTCTGTGTCCTGTTTATCCACCTGTTCCCAGCTGGCTTCAGAGAAAATCTCTGTGCTGCAGCGAGACAAGCAGTTCTGATCCAGATTGCTTTCCGAGTCGGGTATAGAAGTCTGTTGGCAAACAAACACAGCTGAACAGAACCTTCCCATATTCCTATTTCCATACAAATAAAACCAGACAATCGTGGGGAGGAGTGAAAAGGGTACCTCCTGCTAAGAAAGAGCAGGCTATGTCTGCACTGGAAGGGCGAATGTCATAACCAGTCACCTACCTACAGTGCACACGTGGCAGCGAAGGCAAGAGTACCTTTTTGAATGGGACTATAAATGCCACACGTTGAAGTGGTTTGTGCAGTGGTGAACTGCGAAAAAAAAAAAACCCAAGCAAAAAAAGCCCAAGACGTCAGTTTTTGAACCTCTGATGACAGGATGATGTGAGGTAGGATGGATTTAAAATCTGTTTTCTGCTGTGTTAGCACAAAGTTCTGGCAACACTTTGGGTGATTAACCAAAAAAGCTGCTATCTGTGGCTCCAATTTCATGGTTTCCTTTCCAAGGTTGTTTCACTTTCAAAACTAATACCAGTAATACAAATATCCTTTTATCGGCAAAAATTCTGGAAAATACAAGCCAAATCACACATGGGAAACTCAGAATTTGAGCCATATATATTCCATATACAGGTTTTTGGGGAATAACGCTTCCTTAATATAGTCTAGCCAGGTAGAGTTGTATTTTAACTGACTTAAAACTCAGCCAGCCCTTAAAAAAACGTTAAAAATAGAAAGAAATCTTGAGTTAATGTCTTTGTGTGCCTGAGGAATGGGCACCTCTGGAGCTCCAGAAGAAAACCTGTTACTCCCAAGCTGAGGCACAAACAGAAGGTAGAGATCAGATTCTTAAAAATGGTGAATTTTCTAGAGGTCGGCGTGCTCTCACATCCAGCCCTACGCTGCAGTTTGTGAAGGCCCTTAAAAAATGGGAGTATAATAAATTAAGCCAAAGCACCAATTTTCTCCAAGGAATCCAAGTTTTTGCCAGTGACAGAAGCCACACCCAACTGAAATGACACTGAGCTGAAATGGATGCCAAAAGGAGCATTTAGTGCTGTTATCTCCAATGTGAATAGCCAAGAAGCTCCAAGTATTTTTCACAACAAATGTACCTGGGACTATCCAGCACCTCTGCCACTTCTAAACAATATTAAATTAAATAAACAAAAGTTAGAAACCTCTTGTAAATGTTTTTTGGGTTTTTTTTCCAATTTTGCAGGCATGTAAAACACATTACAACGTGCACGTAGGAAAAGGAAATTTTTGATGGGTGCTATGTCAACCTCAGGAACTGCAGGCCAATGCTCTGCCCGGTGTTCAAACCCACAGGAAGATACAAACTCTGTTTCAGGGATTCTGCGTCTCCTGACCTTCCCCTTCATGCCCCTTTCCTCCTCCCCTGCCTACCTGCTTCCCCAAGTAGCTCTCCCCTCTTCATTTCTTTGATTTAACCAGTAACACTGGGCCTTTGAAAAACCAAGTTTTGCAGCAATCTGCAGAACTGCTCCGTGCTCGAAGGCCTCTACAGAACAGGACTCCTGCTTGTTCTCTGAATCAGTGTCACATTCAAGCAACAGTGTAAGGCCAATGACTGTACTTCTTTTGACTTTTTATTACTATTTATTAGTCAAAAGAGGAGGAGAAGTTAGGTCAAAAAAAAAAAATAGGGGAGAAGCAACTTGAAAATCCACCCAAGACAGAGAGACATAGAGACAACTTGCCAGCTATTGAGATCCTGAACTTGGAATTACGCCTATTTAATTTCTGATTTTAAAATTTCTTTTGCACCCACAACTACATAGATCATTTAATTGCTACAGAAATTAGCATACTATATTTGAATCATGCCTCAAACTTAAGTCTCTACTTTTACAACTTTAAACACTTCCAAGTAAAAGCACAAAGTTTAAAAGCGCCACTTAAAATTCTTAATTTGTTGAGAAAAAACCCTCACTGACATAAGGCTGTCGCAAAAGTTCTTAATTTATTCCAGCTAATGAGCCTGGAGCAGGCCAGCCATCTGAAAAAGGCATTGAACTTCATGGTTTTGAGCTAACAGAGCAGCCACTGCTGCATCTTTCGTACCCCAAGCATGCAAAGCACCAAGAGATCAGTCCTACGCTCCTGTCCCAATAAATGACACATTCACATAGAAAAATATCTTTGCCCGGATATCAAAACAGTAAAACAAATGCTTTTTTTTTTTTAAATAAGGCCAATGAGGGTGTTTAAGTATGTCCAGGTATGTGCAAGTATGCTGTGAAACACCCATCTTGAAATAAACCTTTGCTACATTTATGGTCAAACTGAAATACAGTGAAAATATTAGTCATCATTAATTGCCATTTGCCATGTTCTCAGTCAGTTGTTTGCCCTCTTCAGAATGACCTTGAGAGTTTTATAAAAGCCTGTATGGCCAAAAAATAACTACCCGACCAATAAACCAAGAGCTGACAATATGGTGAGATCCAGAACATGACTAACCAGCCCACTGTCTCCAGCAGTGGCCCAATTACCATTTCACTTACCACTTCGTCTCCATAATCACCATTGAGACGTAAGGAGCTATTCAGGAACTGGCTCTCCAACCGGCTCTTCAACTCTTGCACTTGCTTCTTCAAGGTCTCCACTTCTTGCTGATGGCCAGTTTCTATCTGGCGCAGGCGCTGCTGGATAACATCAGTGTAGACAGGCATCCCATCATCGTCCAGGTGACTTCTGGCAGGTTGGTCTGGGCTGCTGGCTGCCTGCTGCTTACCAAGATGACTAAACATCCATTTTTGGTGCAAGTTCCTCAAGTGAAACTGTGCAGAACTACAGCTAGCTGTGGAGACCTGCCGACTCAGAGAGGCTTTGATCCGACCGTCCTCTCCATTCACACAGTGTCCGTTTGTCACATGGTATTTCTGGGTGATACTAAACCCCGCCGGCTTCTCTGTCATCTTGTTCTCAGGCTCCAGCTCTCCATTACACACAATCTCATCTTTACATTCAGCTAAAGGCAAGGCACAAGGGGAAGGCATCGGGATGTGTGTGTTGCTGCTACCAGAAGTCCTATGTACTTTTGTTCCCAGTTTCTGAAGTTCTAACATGCTCTCCCCCTCTGGCCTATTTTCAGTAATTCGAGAAAGTTCATCAGCACTGTTGTCAATCAGGTGAGGTCTATGGCAAGGACCCTTAGGAATGAGCTCCTGCTTTGCTTCATTCTCTGTTAAGGTTTCCGTAGAACTTTCAATGTTGGATGTTCTTGCCTCATGCGGGACTGTAAGAGGTAACGGAAGGCTGGCCTGCGCTGTACTGTACAGGCTCTCTGCTTCTCCCTCAAGTTTGCTAACACCTTCTTCCTCCATATTCTTTTGAGTGTCTCTATTTACAAAGCCCTCTAAAGGAACAGTCTGTAGTCCTTTCACCTGAGGTAACTTCTGGATAGCGTTACTGAGATCAGTATGCTCATCCTGTTGTCCTTTAAGCTCAGAAGCACCTTGTGAAACTGCATGTGGATTGCATGCTGGATTGCTCAATACAATACCTTTATCCGCCTCAGCCCTTTCACAGAGGTCACTGACATACCCATGTAGATTTTCAGTTCTCTTCTCCTTGTCCAGGGCAATCTCATCCCCTTTACCTACTGTCTCTAGGCTACCCCTTAAGTGCTCCTCCAGACCAACATCATCTTTAGTGGCCTCTTGCAAAATGTTCTCCATCTGTCCCTCTGCCACACCAGCTGCAACAGAGAGTTCTGCTCCAACCGGAGCCCTGCCTTGTTTACTCAGGCTATCTCCATCAAACGGATCATCCCCAGGGTTACCGAGGCTGCTCAGCTCCAGAGACCGACGGTGCTCTTGCCACTTTTCATTGAGGCTGGGGTCGCTACTGCGTCGATTGGTTGTAGGCACACTGCTGTCACAGGCTGTCGTCAGATTGTCAAATGATCTCGTCTTTGGTAACCTATAAAGGTATAAAGAATCAGAATCCAAAGGCAGGGGATTTTTTTTTTTTTTTTTTAAAATGCTTAGCTACTATGGTTTAACAACTCCCCCCACAATTAGGACAGTAACAATCTGCTAACTAATGGACTTCTGTGAAGTATTATCTAGGAGCACATTTTGACCATCTGTAGTGCAGAGCTGCTTCAGTACTTTCTTTGTTTGCCATCAGGAAAACATGTTCAATCAGACTTCAAACATTCCCAGAATAATCCCTTTACCACAAAGCACAAATGCTTACAGTCTGATCACACCTCCTAATTAACATGTGCTCAGAATCATTGTACAAAAAAGCAAAGAAATAGTTATGCAACACAGAAAAAGAACTCAAATTCAAGACAACCAAATGAAAGCTTATATCCCACAAGGATATAAGGAATCCTAGAAGGCAATGCAATACCCAGAGCTTAATTCTATTCGCTAATCTTCTCTCTGTTATGCTATCACCTCTGAAACATAACAGCTTTCAAAACTGAAACAATGACAGGCTGCGTTTGGGTAGGTCAGTCAAACACTCCCACAAATAAGCCTGTGAAAAAGACTTCCCTCCCACCACAAGTATTCTCCTCTTTATATCTCACAATATTCTCCGTTGATCTTACTTTACAGGATGGGATTTCTGGGCTCTAGGCTCACCTGCCCAGAGGCTGATCTTCAGGGCTAGAGCCTGGAACAGGGTACGGGGCACAGGTGTCATCTGCGGGTGTAGAGGGGGAAGAGCACGGCAGGTAAACAGCACTCCAGAGCATTAAATTACGCACATGGCACACTGGATACAGCACCTGAGAGGGGAGAACACACAATGTTCAGAAATGGTAAACTGCTCGCTCCCAGGATGCAGAGAAGTGTTCAGATCTAACTGTGGTAGTTTACTATTCAGATTTGCAGCTGGGAGGCTTTGCTAGATCTCTAGATAACTCCGAAGGCCAGTGAGCAGCTATGGCATTTTTAATCAGCTACACTTGGATATATAATTATCTTTTCTTTCAGAGACAGAGGCTGAGGCATAACAATGCCAGCTTTCAGGTTCTCATGAATGAATTCTGTGTGAATTCTGTGTGAATCTACACTTTAATAACGCTTCTGAGCAATTTAAACTGCTGAAGAATTCAGTGGCCCATTGTTAGCGCAGAGATGGGCCTGTACTTTGTATTATACCATGCCATATGAGAGCTGAACTAATAACCTCCTTCTACAGGCTCCAATCCATCAAAGCTAACCCTGTCTTTAATGGAACCACTCATATGTTAAAAATTAAGAACATGCAGAAATACTTTGCTGAAGAGACAGCTTGCTCTTAAAAGGGATTCCTTGATTGTGGAATATGCCTTCTGTTTCAGTTTAAAAACACCTTGGGTCACTCTTAACAATTCCACTCTTTACCTTGTGGAAAAGCAGGCAATGGCAGAGAAACAGTCAGGTTTCCCTGCCACTGAGCAGAGGGAGGGCTGTGGGGTGGCTTGGTTTGGTGGATGCTGCTCTTAAACGCCTATGGTTTTATAACAGATGTGGCTACATCAGAGAGGCACCTTTTAAAGACTGAAGTAAAACCACGGAAGGATGAATACAAGACAGGAAATTACCAAAACTCCCACATACAGACAAATTATCCTAATTAGCTTAGTACAGTAGAGTGCAGTATTTACTGAGAACAGAGAGGCCAAGTCACTGAGACTGCATCTATACTGCAGGACATCGCATGTAAGGGCAGCCCAAGGACAGAACGGCTACCTGTCTGCACAGTCCGCTTTAAGAGCGTTCTCTAAGCTCCTCCTGGGCAAACCTGCTGGTATTTTCAGGGAAAACTCAGATGCATCCATTGCTTTAAAAGACCTCACAAGCCATATTTGTCTGCAACATCTCATGCTTTCAGCTATCACATCCACTCTTACGATGACAATGTCAGGTTGGAAAGTCTTGAAGGGCTCTCTCTGATGTTGCCTGTCACAATGACAAATGGGATCTGCACAGAGTCTGAGCGCAGGCTGCACGTCCGGTGTCCAGGGGAGACAGCCAGCCATAGAGGGCTGATGTGAATATAGAATTAATCTTTTTATAACAAATGTAGGCATAAACTCTTTCCTACTCTAAGGAACAATTAAAAGCCACATCTATCATACGCAAAAACATTGCGTAGTCCTTACAGTTAAGTTTATGGTATCTGACACTTTTATAAACAAAAAGGGTTTACATATTGGTAAGTCTTTCCTGTCCTAATCATGATGACATTCGATGACTGACTGTTCACACGCCCACCATACTGCATCCCTCAATGCCTTGCATGACTTTTCATCAAATACACAAAAAGGTAACGTGAGCCTCTTCCCAGAAGCTTCAGTGAGCTATTAATATGGAAGACCCAAACTGAAAACATGAAAGTATTAAGAAAAACAAAGATATACTAAATAAATCTAAACAGAAAAAGTAATTCAGATTAAGATGAATATAGACACAGTTCTAGGTTTGTATGCAATTTTATGACACTTGTCTGACTTAGCTTAGTTCTCTAAAGGTCTATTTGTCAAACACTGAAATGTTTTCTGTTACAAAAAATAAAGCAAAATATTTAGTTACAGAAAATGCATTTCCAGCATAGAGAAATTTCTGAGGTTGCATTTGACATTCTTCAAATATCAGCAAACTTAATGCAAAGACTTGAAATGTCAGACTGAACAGAGTGTTCAAAGGTAAACATCGATGCGGAGAGCTGAACACACTTTTCTGGAAATGCCTCTCTCTACACTGTATTCATGATGACAGCTAAGCCATTACGATGTCCCACTGCTACAAGCTTGGGTATTTTCTTAAGGTACGCACTTTTGAGAACATTGTACCTGGGAGCCCCTAAAGGGACTCTCCCACACGGTGGGGAATGAAGTATACATACAGATTCTGACTGGGAGGAGTAGAGCAGGTTTCTGAAGGCTTTGTTTGCTGCCCGCAGCAAAGACCAGACAGAACAGGTCCGTTCCTGAGTGTGTTTTTCTCCTCTCTCTTTCGCATTGTTGCACAGGAATGTACCAAAGAGGCAAGAGTAGGTGTGCTGCACCAATTTGACCTGCACAGATCAATAGAAATATTGTCATATGGCAGAAGATACCAGCTTACTGTGAGAACAAACATTCAGGCTTAAGAAGCAACAAATCTTCCCTTCACAGGGCAATACACCCCCTTCCTAAAGACTGATATACAAACACACCTAGCATTTTTTGCATACCTCCTTATAAACTAATTGCAAAACTCAAGCATAGCGGAATCTTTTAAAATCGTAACTACAAAAATTCAGGAAAAAATGTAAAATAGAAAGACAAAATATTTGTTCATAATCAAGTATAAGTCTTGCTGATTCAAACTCATAGGTCTGTACGACAGGCAAAGAAGAGAATCATGATACCTGTTACAAAACATTAATGCAGCACAGAAAGGCAAAAAATGGTGGGGAAAAGCGTTAATTTCTGTACACTGGTATAAATGCACACAGCACACACATCCTGATCATTATTCACTCCATGCTGTGATCCCAATCTGACAAAATAGCTTAATATGAATTTAACTTTAAGCCTATAAATGACTTCCATGGCATTATTCAGACGTTTAAACGAAGACAAGTACTTCAATACTCTAATAAATTAAGGGGTTTACTCTAAAAAGGCCAGAATACTAAGGGTATGTTCACACACAGCTCCTGTAGGTTAGCAGTGTGCTGTGAAGCCAGTTATAACCTTATGTATCTCATTTCACAACTGAGCTAAGCTAGAACTGTACATATACTCGGTTACACGGCTGAGCTAGCAAGTGGTAATTCAAGTCAACCACAATCACAGGAACATGCTTTAAATCTCTTAGTGGATCAGACACTTCATAAAAACTTTCATTCTTCAGATTACTAGTCCTGCAGTTAGTAACAGCCACTTTCCCAGAGACCTGCTTTCTGGCCTTGAGAATTTATTTTGACCATCCTAGGCAAATTTCTAATAGAAGAGCTGTCCACTTCAAAATGAAATAAACACAGCTCGTACACCCTACACATTTTCAGCAGAAAAACTGAATGGAAAGGTAAGGGGGAGGTTGTTTTTAGAGGAGGAGCCTTCAGCTCAAAACAAGGTCAGAGTGGGGGCAGTTTTATTGCCAGTAACTATGACTTTTTTCATGCTGTTTGGATGTATTATACCAGAGTTATTTCAGCACCTCTTGGGTGAGACTATTACATTTGTATCATTTATTTCTTTCTTTAAAGTTTAAAAGAAGTCCTTAAGGGTCCTGCTTCAGTTTTAAGAGTGAACAGACCTCAGGTCCCATGAAGTATACAAGTACTTTTGTCTACTATATCTGGCCAGTTTTCCCGTTTCCTTTATCAGGCTGCAGCATATCACAGATAGATGGGAAAATCAGAAACCCCTCGGGGCTCTACAGTATGTTAGTACTGGGTACTGGTTTAGAAGCAGTCTATAAAACAGCAATCTCTCAAGCCACAACTCACAAGGAATGCTTCGTTAAACTCGAAAGAGCAAGGGAACTGCCTCTGGAGCTGATGGACGCAGTCCAGCCACTGTAAAAACACTGGGCAGCGCTCATTTAGGTCATCCGAATTCTCACCATGGCCACAGCGATCTGCAAACTTGTGGCCAAAATCCAGCCACTCCGTCTCCACTAGAACCTGGAAACCCTGCAGAAATGAAAGTACAAATGAAAAGGTCCTATTTTTCTTTGGTTCAATTTTCTAAGACAGTCTCAGACTCGTGGGAATCACCTTATTATCGTGTCCTCACTCACTCCCATTTCCCTTCAGCATTGGCCTCATTACTTATCTTTACTGCTTTACCTAATGCCTCTGTGTTCTGAAATGCTGCACAACATTAAATTGTGAAATTAGGACAGATATGAATTCCCAAGTCTACATGAACAGGAAAGGGAATAAGGCAGGTTAAGTCCTCAGTGACTGGCACAGAAGATCCTGATATGAGACCTATCTTGGCCAGGCAGGGGCAAGTAGGAAATTCACCTTGATCAAAACCCTCTGGATCACGGTAACCAACATTTGGACAGGAGAGAAAATTTTAAAGCTCTCCCTTAAAAAGGATGGGCAGATCTGTCTGTCATAAAAGAAAACAATTCATCCACAAAAGGACATCCGTGCTCAGAGAGAGTGCTTGCCTGTGTGTATACCAAATGTAGCGCAGTCACAAGGTTGATTAAAGGTCGAGTTGCACGATTTCTTATGCAAATGAAAAGGGCAAAGAACATTTCAAAACAGTGCCTCGCTGAGCACCTGAATGCGACACCTCGTCTTACAGGACCTAAAACCCATCACAGGTTAGAAAGATTTTGATTCTTAGTGGAAAGAAAAACTGTAGAGCATGCTTATTAAGCCAATGGCTGTAATTAGAGCAAAAATAATAGCTGATAGCTGAAAAGCTTGAAATGTGACAATGCTGAAGACTCATTTTCCTAAACATTTCTGATCCTTGTATAGACAGCTACAGTTTATGATTTCCTCTGATGTGGTGGTGACAAGAAGGAACGCAAAGAGTGTGTACAGAAGAACTCGGTACTTTGAACAGGAATGACAGCATTCTTAGGAAGGACCAGGAGGAGGTTCTGTGCCAAGAACAGAGCAGTATGTTTTGACCTGATGGATGCCGACTTCTACAACCCATGTGAAAAAGGATCTGAGAAGTTTTCACAATTTCATCCAAAAGGCATTGCTACAGTTTAAACTTCTGGTCCTCATATGTCCGAGGCTTTAAGCAGCAGTTTTTAGCACAGTGTTCAGACATATGCTTCTGTTCTAGACAACAAAGGCACCTTGCATGTGGGCTGGCAGATGGAATCCAGCCATTACATATCACACAATGCTGAAAAGTGATGGGGGGGGGAAATTCAGGCTGAAAAACCAAGAGAAATATAACTAAGTAACAGAGGACAATGAAACTGTGAAACTGTAAAAACTTGCAGTAGAGAAATCTAGAAAAGAGAAAGGCTTTGTATCAATAGTTCACTGAGAAACTGCAATGGTATAAGGGAAACTGCAATATGTAGCACTTTGTACTACATATTCCCAAGCTAAATATGGGGAAGCAAAGGACCATGACTGGGCAGTTACAGCAAAGGGGAAAAATATAATCTGCTCTTGAATTACAGACTATATTTACACCTATATGTAACTGTATCTACAGACTACCGTTGGTAAACTGCTAGCTTTAGTGCTTTTCCTAGCGGAAAAAACTGAAATCATTTATATACAGACTTCCTCAAAAAGGATCCAAACTCGGTAACTACCTCATGCACTAACAGATGTTTACAAACCTCTGTGGTCCTGTAATACGGATCAAGCAGCAGTTTGGCCAGCGCCACTATCTGGGGGGTTCGGTCCCAGCCGTCTGAGCAGTGCACCAAGACTGGTCGCTGGTCTCGGTCCACGGCATGAACTACGAGTAGTGCAGATTTCAGAAGCACAGATAAGTGCTGCAGCCATTTGGTACTTTCCAGAGCTGATAACCAACTAGAGGAAAACAAGGGAAGACAGTTTTTGCTCTCTTAAAATGCTTTCAGGTTTGGATCTTTGAATTTATCAAGTCAAAGCTCCTATTTTAATAAGCTGTAAATGTCATTCTGGAATATTTTTCATTTACGTCTCATTAACACTTTCCCAGATTTGTAAGAAACAAAGCCATGCAGGACACCTGAGGAACAACCGGTCTCTGGTATGTGCTTTGCTGCGTAAGACTTGGAAGAAGCTTAAATAACATTTCCTCAGACAAGAGCATAACACGTCACCAGCAATGGACAATGTAAGCACTACTGGGTAATCGTTACTTTCAGCAGCCTCTGCTGTCTCCCCTCCTCTGAGCTGAGGATTCAGATTACCCAGCAGTGCCAGGATCCCTGGCATACCTTGGGACTCTGCCATATGACAACTCTGTGCTTCAATGAAAGGGTGGAACCTGAGGTGCCTTTGAAACCTCCCGTATCTCAACTATTCCCAGGCATTACAAGGTGTGCTGTAGGTATCTTAAGAATCTCTGCCCTGAGAAGATCTACATATCCAGTTTAGTAAGGGTGGCCATTCTGGATCTACTTTGAACCCATTAAATACTCTTAGCAGCAAATTCGAAACAGGGAGGTGGTAGGGGAAACAGGACTGGTGCAACTACAGCGTCCTAGTGGAGACCCAACCTCAGGAGCTCCTGAGATGATGGGCCATTAGAGGCTAGTTGTCCCATAGCGCTGGAGGCCCATGAAGTATGTCTCCTGAAATGATACTATAAACGCATGAAGTACATAGAACACCACTAGCATTTTCTGAAGGAGAGCCAAGCTGTGAAGATTGAAGAACCAGGAATAGCAGGTAAGCCCAAGTGCTAGCACTTAGAAGCCCACCTGAAAATAGTAACATTCTAGTATCAATACTCAAGGCTACATTATAATCCCAGATCTCATTTTCTAGGTTCACTTCAATGATAATAAACCAATGACGTCCTTCAGCTCAAATTCCGTGGAAATGAAAAAATACAGCTTAGCACTATTACACAGGAAATTCACCAAGGAAAAACACACTGAATTTCAGTCTACTAATCGGCAGCAAAAGAGCACAGTTGCAGAAACATGTAAACAAAGGCAAAAAACACCAAACATCCACTTACTTTCCTGGATCTGGCATTTGTGTGCAGAGCAAACGCAGCGACTGAAAGCTCTTCCGGATAGAATGAATGTTTGCCATCCCCATGAACACTACTTCACAGTTTGGATAATATTCTGTAGGGAAGTATCAAGAAAGAGGGAAGAAGCTAAAAACTACACTAAGTTTAATTTCTAAAAGAAGCTTTTTCATACAAACAAACCACTATTGCTGTGAGCAGATGAAATATTCTGTTTATGAATATTCTGTAAGGAGAAACTAGTACTTGGAGTTCAGTAGATATTCCAGACATTACAACACAGCATAGCAAAACAGGAAAGAGTTAGCAAAGTGTTTGTGTATTTATTTTCAATGTTTCACTTCACATTACAAAAAGCAGGGTACAAACCTATGAGAAGAGTGATATTGCCGTGCTCAAGGTTATAGAATGTTTTTAAAAAAACTGAGAAACATCCTAAGATATTGCAAAGCATAAACAATATTTAACTAATCATTTATGGATGTTCCTAAATTTGGTAAACTAATGCGTATTTTTATACAAGTTATAGATTCCTTTTCCTAACCACTCAAAAAGGCTGAAAGGTTACTTCATTTACCGCTTTATTCTGAGTTTTTCTATTATGAGGAATAAGCACCACACACATGAGAAATACTCAAAGCTCAGGAAAACAGACGATAGACGGAATCACTGAGCCTGCCTTCAGATATTGCTGTGGGATGTAATGATGCAACTCTGCTCTACTGGGGAGGAAGTATCTGCACAGACAGGGTCCACTAGTCAGAGGGAGCACCTAAGAAGATGCAGAAAAGTACTAATTCGATAGTCTTTCCTGGATTTAGCTTTCCTCTGTCCTGATGCTTCTATCTGCACAAAAATGACATGATAGCTAAAATGACTTTTTCTACAACAGAAAAAAATAATCAGGATGCAGAATATGGGATATTGAGTGCTTGCACAGAAAAACGCAGTAGTCTCTTAAAAGAGCATGTTTTGTATCATTTGACTTCTTAACTGTTAACAGCCCAACAAATTCTGACCGAAACCAGAACATCCTGTTAGCGATGGACTGTGTAACTCCAGTCAGAAGCGACTGACAGTATCAATTTAAACATTTTTTTTGTCTTTTTCCTGAATTATGTTATAAACAAAGCATAACATAACTGAAATTTTTATACAGAGAGAGCGAAGCAAACGTGGCAATGCCTGGAGAAAACTTATCAGCAAAAAAGGAAGCACTTAATGCAGGTCAAATTTATTGAAGGTGACAAGCTGTTTGGGAATTTTCTACACGGAATTCAAGAACCAATAGGAAGAAAATTAAACTTCTTGTATACTCTGCTTTTCTGTTTTGAAATTTTACTCTCTGATGATGAATTATTTAGTAGTTTTGAGGTGTTAAATGGAAAATTCATCTTTTCTTACTGGTGGCTACATATCAAAGTGCAGCTATTGCAGCAAAGACCAAAACAAGAATATATGGTTAAAATAGCTTTTGTTATCTTACCTATAGCTTTCCTGTCTGGTATTTTCTTCTAGACTCTCCACCCATGGAATTTTAACAAGCTGCATTCATATCCAATAGTGACCATAAAATAGTATCTTGCTTATAATACCAACAATTTACAAGTGCCAAAGGAAGCAGAAATTGGTAATTGCAAATGTATTCCAAATGCAAGATGAATCAGGATTTCAGCTGCTTTGGGTTATGATATAAATGCTGAAAAATGTTTCAGCTTTAGAAAAATTGCTGAAAAACTGTCTTCTGCACAACCATTCTAGACTATTAGTATCCTTTACAGTTAGTGGATTTTTAAAAGTTTGTTCAGGTTTTTTTTAGACATTAGCACACTGGACACCTTTGTCTCGCTCTGGTTTATATATTTGACTTAGCAGGGGAAAGCTAATCAGCATGTTCCACACAGTTCAGCATTTACTGAACAAACTGTTACCAGCTGGTTTTATGCTCTGAGAAACAGACTTAATTAACAGCTGAACCTGTCCTTTTGAAGGGCTGTGTGATAGCTGCAACAATCCAGAACTTTCACGTAAATGAACAGTACTTGCATCCACTCAGTCTGTTAAATATGCAGTACTGAAGTATATCAGTGCAATTATATTTGAGCAAATCCTTTTGATTAACTTAATAGAAAACTGAGAAGGAACACTGCTTACCTGGGCACTCACAGCCTCCACCTTTGGCTCTGTTGGCCACAGCTGCTGCATAGGATCGTGCGTCTAAGATCAAAAGCTTCTGAGGCTGTATTGCCAAACTCTCTGCTCCTGAAGCATTTGAGATTGAGGAATCTGGGGAAGAGGATATGCAACTGAAGAGCAACTAAAAGGATACTTCTGACATCATTTACAACAATGATTCGCTCAAGTCCCACAATGCATATGCACTGCACATACAGAAATTGGAGAATGCCTGATTAAATACAAAGGATTGAATCTGTTACAGTACATATAAGAGATTAAGCTTTTATATAATGCTCTGCCCTTTACAGAAGAGGAACAGTGACAAACTTACCAAATTCCACATCAGAGAGGTCCCCTCCATTGGAGAAATCTCGGGAACAATTTCCATTCATTAATTTGTTGCTGTTGGACCTCGAATCTGAGGCACAGGCTTTGGCTACAGACTGGACAAGGTGTTCATCATCTGCATTCCTCCAGCCCCACCAACTGACCTCGGGCTGTCCACAGCGGGAAATAACTGCTCCATTGCTCTGGTGCCTGGTGGAAAAAAAAAATCAAAACAATAAAAAGAACAGTGGTGAATAACTTGAAGAATCAGGGTGAAAAACACAGAGGGCATGAAAAATTAAATGGCACTCCAGTAGTTCAATTCCCATCAGGGACCTCTCTATCAGCAGTTATCCTCAACCTGCGATTCAGTGACAACGTATTCTAAGTGCTTCCCTTCAAAATGCGGACTGTGACCACACAGTCACTGAAAGGCAAAAGTCAAAGCCGAGGTCAGTAAGAGAAAATAAAGCATTTTCTTGCTCAATATTGTTGCCTGTTGACCAGTGAAAGCCGGGGAACATTTTGGAACAGCACATGAGGCATTAAAGAGGTATTCAACACCTGCTGGATAGTCAGGTCTACTGCTGTAATACCAGAGTAAATAGGAAAGCTCAATTTAACTCATGCTAATTTTAAAGCTAGAAGACAGGAGTAAAACCACAGATTCACTTTTTGATGAGATTTTTACAATCAAAACATACCACTAATTAAATCTAAACAATGTTACAATTTTGGTAGGAAATATTGGCAGAATTTGGCACGCCTTCTGTCTGGTGATGTCTAACGGCAACCCAAAACCTTACTCTTGTACATCGCTAGGCATCACCCATCACAGGAGGCGGTCCTTGAACACTGCAGAACCATTATCTAGAAGCCAGTGTATTTAGGTATTGTTTCACTAGCTAAAAGGAAGAAAGCCTTTCGCATCTCAGGATGCTAAACATCTGCAGTTTTACTCATTCTGAAGTTCGGTACTAGCATCTGCTTGGAAAGGTGTGGCTCTGCCATACCCTTTTCAGCTTGTTCTCCTCTCTGTGTGGGTCTTCTCCATCCCTCTTCCTGACCCTCTTTGGGTAGTGTTTCATCTGCTGTCTCTCAAACACCGATCGTATCTAGCAGAAGAGCACCAAGGAGCTGATGAAGAGCAATAGTAGCTCTCGCATGTAAGCGCCAGTGTGGTGCCAGGTTGGTAAATAACAAGGTCCACAAGCAAGTAAATTTTGCTACAGACACCTAAGTAGCACTGAAAAAGGAAATATTGTTTATTAACAGCATATTTTTCTTCCAAAATGTGATATGAATTGCAAGTACTCTATATATTGAAAAAACTTCAGAGGACTGGCAAACAGAGTACAGAGATGAATCTATCAACAAGTATGTCAGGGAGATAACTGAAAAATGACCTAACTTGAATGTAGCTAGCTTCTTCTGGGGAGTGACATTAAAAAAAAATCAGATTTTTTTTTTAGATGTCTGAAGAGTTAGTTAGTAGTTATTTTCTTAAATTTGTCCTAGCTTCTTGTACTACACATAAACAACAGATTTGAAATAATTAAAACGTATCCAATCATTGCAAACATACTCTGAAAAAGATTTAAAAACTCTCCCCTATAATCTATTATTAAAAAAAAAAGAGTACTGAAACATATTATCACTGTAATTTCAGCTACTGCCTCCATGTTGGCACATCCCACTGCTGCCAACAGAGATGTAATTCCCCACTCACTGAAGTGAGTTTACATCTGGCATTAACAATGTTCTCCTTGACCTTCACTAGCAGTACCCTGAATTCAGAGGACTCAGCCACAGCAGGAAAGGAAGCCCAGCTGTCAGTATGAAGAGCTGCAGGCGGAGTGGCCAAAGCAGAGCAGAGACACAACTTCTCTCAGGCCACACGGCGAGTCAACGATGCTGAGGAATGGGACACCTAGAAGTGTTTACTCCCTGCCTCATGTCCCATCTGAAATATCCTACCACTTATCCACACACTGTTCTTCTCTATTTAAATGGCCTGCAGATATACCTCTTTAAGCAAAGGTGCCTCTAGGCAATGCTGTTCTTGCTCAGGAGTCCCACCAGAACCCCATATTTACAAAGTACACACATGCCAATTACAGTTCCTATACGTTACAATGCAGCAAAGGATTCTAGAGTCTTCCAGCAACCAAACTGGCCATCTCAGCTTCATGTCAACCAGGAGTTGTTTAATTCC